TACTCCTAGCCCCTGTGCTGTGTGCATTAGGAACCCCTGACTCCTGCAATTTGTGCATTGCATTCTCCTGACCTCTGTGCCTTTCATACTCTTGACCTCTGTGCATTGTACTCCTTCCACCTGCACTCTCTGTGTTACATACTCCTGTCCCCTGTGTTTTGTGCATTTTGTACTCCTGTCCCTTGTGCTCTGTAAAATGTGTATTCCTGACCCCTGCATTCTGTGTATTATGTTATGTACTCTTGACCACTGTACTTTGTATGTTATGTACACCTGACCCCTGTACTCTGTGCTTTGTGCATTTTGTACTTATGTCCTCTGTGCTGTGTGTGTATTGTTTCTTACTTCTAACCCTTGCACTTTGTGCATTATGTACTCTGATCCCTGCATTCTGTGCCTTACATACTCTTGTCCCATGTGCTTTGCGCATTTTTTACTCTTTATGCTATTTTGCACAGTATATATACCTGATCAAAGTGTTCATTTTTGAAGTTCCAGGTTTCAAGGTAGTTCTCAACTACTTTAATGAAGTACTTCTTTAAGTTAAACTACGAAAAATTGGTAGCTCTCAGTCTAACAGGGTTATTCACAAAAGGGTGAAGAGTTTGGAGCTGGGAGGAGAAGTGAACAATCTAGGACAACATAGCTGAACTGGAAAGTGAGTTGAATTGGAGAATTTTTCCAAATCAGCTATGTTGGCCTAGATTGTTCACTTCTCCTGTCTTCTCCAAACTCATCACCCTTTTGTGAATAACCCTGTTAGTCTTGTGTGCAGAAAAACATACTTAATAGAAGAGTTTCATTTTTTTTAATGATTGTGCGGCTGTTTATATGTGTCTGTGGGACTTTAACTTGTGGCATAGTAATTAAAACATATTTTGTGGGTAAATTGACTGTGGCACATGTGTAGCATGTATACAGTGAGTAGGCTTAAGTTTTATATAACAATAACCCTTTAACCCCCTCCCACTGTTAGCACAGTTTGGCCACATGCACTATTTACAGTGACACACTATGCAAGTCGCATCACTGTTCTACTTAAGGGGCCAAGGTTGCCCCCAGATCAGTTGCAATGCTAGCAAGACCCCTGTTCAGCCTTATAGTTGTAAGTAATGTGACTGTCACTCTTAGGATATTCTTAGTATCAATAAGCAAATTAGTGTCAAGTTTAGCAAATCAGACAATCCTAGGCCCGGCACATGTGGTTCGCATCATGGGATATCGCTTTCAGCACCCTTCCACCCGGCTTCCTTCAATCAGCTGATCTAAGGAGCATGTTAGAAAAATTCTTAGCCGAATGGAACTAGCAGCCAAAAACTGCAAAAACCGTTTGGCCAATAGCAGACTACAAAGGGGGTTTCACTTGTAAGTGTTGATGGAGTAATCTGTTCTTTTTTTTTCGTTCAGTCCGTGGTTTGAAGGAAAAAACAGACACATGTATACCCTGCTTAAGTGTGCATAAATGCATAAGGTTTTAAATGTCTTATCTGTATTTGTTTCTTATTTAAGTCTCAGCATCAGCCCATTCAGCTTTCCAGCAGTGATCAGTCTCCAGTGGCCCAACATGTCTCTTACCTTGTCATAGCCACACTGATTGCTGATTTGAGAGGGATAGTTGTGACAACGCAGGTGGCATGTAGGACCATTGGAGGTAGACTGGTGTGCTTTATCTTCAGCCTGCTGTGGTGAAGCTAAATATTGGTCTGATATTAAGGCTCACTTCAAAAACAAACAAAAGTAAGATAATTAACCACGTACTGACCGGGGTGTTAAGCCCCCTTCCTGGCCAGGCAATTTTTCAGTATTCAGCGCTGCAGAAATTTGGCTGACATTTATTCCGTCATGAAACGCTGTACTGAAATTAATTTTATACAATTTTTTGGGAAAGATAGAGCTTTCTTTTGGTGGTATTTAATCACCACTGGGGTTTTTTTTTTTTACTATATAACGAAAAAAGTACAGAACATTTTGAAAAAAAGCCTGTTTTCCCTACATTATGTTATAAAACACTTATCAGCACAACTTATCACTCAATTTTTTGGTAAAATATAAAAGACGGGGTCACATCAGGTATCCGGGATCCCTTGTGTGTTTCTGTGCTTTTAAGGAGGCTGGTCTTCCTCCTGACAAACCTGCACCCAATTTGAAATCTTCTGCCCCCATGTGCTCCAAGATGGAGACTCTTATAGTTTAGAGTTAGGACCGCACTATAAGAGGTGCCTTGGCGCGGCAGTGCGGCTTTCACATTTTCTGCAGAAGACTTGTATCCAAACCTCTGTTATTAACCTCAGTGGTGAGACAAGTTGTTTTACATGCTGGTTTGTGAGTGTGCCATGATGCCTTTCTACTGTTTTACATCAGGTAAATAGACACCAAACATGTCAAGCTTTAAAATTACTACCATGCCTAAAAATGGCCATAGGCTACACTTTAAAAGCTTTCACCGCTGATCAGTTTTGTGTTATCAGTGATTAATGGCCTCACTGCAGTGTTCACGGCGATATGTAACATTTGTGGCATAATCGTTGTTTTAGCATGTAAGCACACCCAACTCGTATTTACGTTTTTAAGTACCCCCGCGGGAGCGGGGGACTTAAAACATTTTTTGTTTTTTATTTTTCTTAATATGAGACTTTCTTTTGTTGTTTAAACTTTTTTTTTTTTTACACTTAACTTGATTGCTATCACATAGGGGGGGGCTAACCAGCCCCCTATGTGATAGCCAAAATACAATGACAGGTCCTCTTTAGGGAGATATCAGGGGTCTCTAAGAAGCTGATGAAGGAGAGATCTGCTTCACCAGCTTCTTCTCTGGCAATAGCACCCAGGCAAATGACAGCTAAAGGCGGAAGGCGGAAGTGAAGTAATAGACATTTAGAGAGAGGAGGAGAGATCAGCGTGGGGAATGCTGATTTCTCCTCCTTCTCTGTACAAAGAGCCAACCGGTGTTCTCGGTCCCGGGCACTGCAGGGAGGATAGCGGGATAACCGGCAGCAGCAGCAGAGGGGGACACGACAGCGGGGGCGGAGGGGGAGGCACTGTGCGTGGTTATACAAGCAATCAGCCTGTAGAGCCAGCCGAACACTTGTATATAACAGCTGGTAATGGCTGTTCACATTCCCCGTGGGATCCTGCTCCGGTGAACTAAAAAAAAAACATGTAAATGTATGTACACCTGCCGGGAAGTGACCGCCGCCCACCCATATTTTTTCGATGGGAGGACGGCAAGGGGTTAAAAAAATGTGTATATGGACACTAAGGGGTCTATTCACTAAGCTGCCGAAGGATCTAGCTGTAGCTTCAGCTGATCCTTCGGCTAGCTTCGGCCCCAGGACCCCTTCGGTTCAGTAGAACTGAAGGGCTGCTGTTCGGGCAATTCACTATAACCCATACAGCTCCCGAAGGTGAAAGCCAAAGCTGGCCGAACGGCCGGCGATTGGCCAGCCGACAGCCTGCTTCTATCAGCTGGGCGGAGCCAGCCGTCATCTCATGGCTGGCTCCAGCCACTTGCAGAGAGATCAGCGTCCCTGGTTACCAGGTAACGAGGGATGCCATCTGTCATTACACACTAAGAACCCAGCGGGGTCGCTATGATATCACATCGGCCTCTCCGTGTTCTCAGTGTGTAATGACAGATGGCGTCCCTGGTTACCTGGTAACCAGGGACCCTGATCTGTCATTACTCTCCCGGACGCTCTGGGAGTCTAATACGGCTCCCGGCCACCCAGGAGAGAAACACTTTCTCCTGGAAAGGTTTACTCTGCTCGATCGAGCAGAATAAACCTTTCCTTGGGATCTGTTTTTTTTCTGTATAGGAATGCATAGCTTGATTCCTATTGGCTATTTCACTTTGCAATAGCCAATAACAAACTAGCTATTGCACTCGCCCACTGCAGCTGACAATCAGCAGAGGGGGACCTGCAGTTCTCCATCAGGTCCCCTTCTGGCAGCTTTGTGAATAGACCCCTGAGTTTGTTAAACTTGACACTATAATGGGGCTTTAAAATTTGTTCATTGCTACTAAGGATAGATTTAAAATGACAGTCACATTGTCAAGCAGAGTATGGTGACCCTAACACAAGATGCCCCAGAAGTATTTTATCCAATGTTCATTATGATCTGTTCGGACTTGACGTTCACTAAGTCTGGGCATAAATAAACTGATTGTTAAGTATTTGTCCTTTCTCAAAACCACCAAAATATTTTAAATGCTAAAACTGCCAGAAAAGATCCATGCAAATGACTGAACAGTGAAAGGATTACCGTATATTAAAATATATTTTTTTACATTTACACACACAGCGTCAGTGACCTCAACATTCAGATGATGACATTTTTCAGCATGCTAGACGATTATCAAATGCTTCCATTAATTCTTACTATTCAGACAAATGCATGATTTCATTGATAATATATAAAATAGTAGGATAATATACAGTAAATTTGTATTATAGGAGGATTTTCCAACTATGAGCAAAGAATCAATAGTGAAACACGAATAATCAAAAACATTATGCAATAAATAATAGAAATAAAAGAAAAGAAAAAGAGCATTATTAATAATACCATACAAACAGCAAATAGTTTTGTTTTATTATGAAAAATGTAGGCACATCTGTCAGTTACAATATATTTTGATAAATATACAATATATAAATTGATATTTTGTCCTATCAACAGTTCAGTTGCCCTAGAATTTTTTTTTATAATACCACAATCTAAAATACAAATGCTGAAAATGCAAGTCATCACACATGTCCAAAGAAAAGTTTTTGGGAGTTTTTTTGTTGCTTATCAAAAAATGTAAATATAATAAATACCCTCACAAAAAAAGTTATTTGATAAAAAGGAAAGAATGAAGTTAATATAAACATGATTTCTTTTTCTCCATATTGAAAAGAATTGATAAATTAAACCACAGGGATTTGCACATTAGTTACATTTTACTTCTGAACTCAAATGTCAAACAATTTAATTTTAAACATTTAAAACCATCTTACCTCAGCCATCAGACTCTTGTTACTCATTTCCATATCCTCGGTTTTATTTTTGCCATGGGAAGTCATTTTCTAGGCACTGAGTACTAAAATAAACAGCTAACATTCATCTCTAAAGTACAATTTCCATACCCAATGCAAGACCAAAATCAAGTATGGAAGAAGCTTCAATCCCTTAATTATTAACAGTGTCTTCTCCTTGTCATGCGTAATTTGTCCTGAACATTAGTTTTGTTTTTTTCTTTCCTATACTTATTTGTCCTGTTTTGGCTAATGTTTATCAGGAGCATGCAAGTCATTTAATTGCTCAGCAAAGTTTTTTTTCCACCTCTCAAAGCAGGATTTATCATTATTTTGCAACAGATGTAATGTAATTTATATATCTATATATCAACTACAATTATCATTGCTGACACTATATTAACAATTTGTGTTATGCTTGTCCTTTCTGGAATCTATAGCTTTGGAAGTAAGTGGAATACAAATGCTGGTTAGGATGTGAAAGAGTCAGTATAGGTGATCTGACTAGTAGCTTCTACATTCCAGAGGATCTCTACTGTCTCCTTGATTTGTGGCATCTAATTGCAGGATTGTGAACTGAACACCAGACTCAATTTAATAGTTCAGAAACATCTATATTAAATGTAGGGTTGGGGGACAGTATAGACATAGCCAACACGTTTTAGGGGCTCCTACAAATACCCCCTTCATCAGGGCTCACTAAGGGAGAACATGAGTCCGGACTGTGATGGCTTGAATTTAGATACCATTATGCCGAGTGTGTGAGAATGCAAAAAGCTGCCAAATCAGCTGCTATCTGTAAAGCTGGCCATACATGGCTCGAATTTCAGATGATTCCACAGAATTGGTCAAAATTCATGACATAGGTGGCCCCGCCAGCAGTCCCCCCAAAGAAAATTTGAAGGAGCCAGGTCGAAAATGGTAACTGCATCATGCCAATGTGTTGTGAATACAAGAGCCTGTCTGAATTTAAGGGCCAGCAGGTAAAGAGTTCACCATCCCAACCGTGTGTGTGGACAATGAAAACAAGTTATTACTCTCCTTCAATCCTCTAGGCAAGATCAGCTGAAGCTACGGCTAGATCATTCGGCAGCTTTGTGAATAACCCCCTATGTTTCTGGCAAAATTGCAACTAGTTTGATGAAGGACTACCTCCTGATTTGTAATCATTTGCAAATTGATTCACTCCCCTTCCAGTGTGACCCTACTGTTAGGGTATGATTGCACAAGGTTTTCATGATGGTGCTTTTTCATTGAAAGCAAAATATACTCACTGAACTGATGATAGTTGTATCATCTCAGCACTGAATGCAGATGGAACAATTCGGATGCTGCCACATGTGCTGACAGATCTTCTGTCTGATTGCAGACTTATAATCGCAGACATTAAAAATACTCTCATGTGACTTTAACCTGAGGGCACACTCATGGAGAGGAAGCTTTTCATATATGGTTTTTTTTTTCTTGAATACCATCTCATGTTAATTCCTTACTGAGCTGATGATTGCTGCATCATGTGAGTGAGGATAGATTTTGTAAGGCAAGAATACATGCTTGCAGAAAACTTGACAGATAATTTTTAGTTTCAAAAATTCCAGGCATGAAACATTCCTGATTGACAAAACTGAGAAAATGAATTTTGCTTTTTTGCATAATAATAATAATAAATATAAATGTTAATTATTATTATTATTATTATTTCTACAATCAAGGCAGCCTTTATGTCTGCATAATAGATAAACCAACATTTGCTACCTACCCAACAAACATGCTGCTTGACAAAGCTGCTTCTATCTACCTCATTATACATCCAGCATAGGCTATAGTCATATATTTATAGATCCTTCTGAAGAGCGGTGTAATGAGTGCATAGTAGGCTGAGTGTTAATGGGGTGATGTGAATGAGATTATTCATTATATTCCTGCAATGCTCACATCATCACTGTTTCTTGGTAATGTATTACTGCCCGGGAGTCATGGTCAAGTAACATTAATGTGAATGTACTAATTGCTAACTTGTACTGGCAACTGTTTTAGTAATACACGTGTCCCTTAATAGAAAAGGCTCAGCAAAGTCAAAGACTTCTGCTATTTTCTCCACTGGCAACTAATTGAAGGGGCACTTCTCCATTGACCACAAATGAAATTGGGGTATTTAACCCTGATCATCAATGTAATTGTGGCATTTACACTGACCAACAATGAAACCGAGCTATTTACACTGACTACCAGTATAACATGAGCACTTACACTGAACAATAATGTAGCAGGAGCATTTACAATATAATGACTAGGGACTAGGGACATTTATTGTACACTTATGTAACAGCGGCATTTACACTGATTGCCAATATACAGAGACTTTTATTGGCGGATATTGTGGCTTCCAAGAGATACCAATATACATGGGGCTTTTATTAAGTTGGACATAAGCCACCACATAACAACAGTCTATAGTAAAAATAGACTAACCTGACAGGTCAGCTGACATCTGGCTGATTGGTTATTTCACTTTGAATGACTTTAGGTTATTATGATCAGGTTGGTAGGCTTAAAGCTTTAAGAAAACCTGGTAAAATAGCCAGACATTTATCAATGAAAATATAACTGAACTGTTGCAAATGGCTGCTGTTGCAGTTACTATCCATCAAATTATTTCTTTAACAAAGTTACCTTTCTGGTGACAGGAACTCAGCTTCTTGCTACTTTCAACAGTTTCTTACAGAACATTTTCTAACAAGGACACAGTCTTCCCTAGACATCCTTGAGATACATGGACTGTTTAAGGTCCTTCTATTGCATGTTATTTGATACTCATATATTTATCACCTCTCTTTTATTGTTATTTCTCATATTCTGCCCATTCGGGTCTTTTAAGATCGTAATATTTATCAGTCTGCAAAGACTCTATCAGAAGCAAACCACTGGAACATGATTCTGGGATAGCTGTGGAGCCATTTAACCCCTCAGCTATAGAAAATGTTTTAGTTCCTGGGCACCGGAGCAATTTTGCCATTTTTGCTATGTGTTTGTTTAACCATAATTTCAATCTTCCCCATTTATTGCACCTTCACATATTTTATACAGTTTTTTTAAAGGACAACATGGGTTTTAATTTGATGTGACATATACATATATAGATTCTTAATTTTGTTTTTTTTTTAAATACACATTTTTTTAACAGTTTTGGCAATAATAATGTGTACATAATTAGTGAAGTTAACAGAAAGTAATTCATAATAAATTATTTTATTTGTCCTGAGTTACAGGGTATACCATATGTCTGGGATTTCAGTTTATTTTGGGAGTTATAGGTCAAAAAATACAAGGAGTGAAATTGAATTTTAGTGTGGAACAATTTTAGAATGTCGTATATTTGTCTCCTTACTTTAATTGCCTCCTCGACACCATATTCTCTTATCTTTTTTTATTAAACATATTTTTTTACTTTTTTTTACCTTTTTTTACTTTTCTTAATTTTTTTCATTTGTAATAACTTTCAAAAAACTGTTTAAATCTGTTTTTAAAAACTAGGGGGCACTAAAGGGTTATTTTTTTTATTCACAGAAGCTTTGGATACTTCTGTATTCTGATGAGACACTGTATTCTCGAGAGATATTTTGTATCACTTTATAGCACACTGATCCGGCTTGCAGCTCCACAACATAGTGAGCTGCAGATCAAATCAGTGGCTGTATCAGCACTGTGATCACTGTGATTGGCTATTGCAGTGATCACAGTACAGGACCCCCTGATTTGCTGTGGAAGGTCTGCCTCGGACACTGAGGTACCCAGCAACAGCACAAACCCCATGAGGGCTAGTCCCACCACAGACCAGCGCTCATTTTCCTGCCTGACGGAATTATTCCATCAATGGTTAAGTATTTGAAAGATTTTGACTGAATAATTCCGTCATTGGCCGGGAAGGGGTTCATTTCACTGTTAAAGTCAATATATGTGAAAAATAAGTCAAGACAACTGGACTTGCTGTATTTTTCTTGAAGACATTTCATTGGTCATCCAACCGACTTTCTCAATTCAGACTTGCCCTGACTTATTTTTTACAGATATACCATGACCTGGATGAATGAGAACCTTCAGAGACATGTTAAAGTCAATGTTCAACAGCTGGATTTTTGAAATAAATATCCTGTGTTTTTTATAGTTCAACATCTAGGACTGGTACTTTAGATATGAGTGAGCCCAGATGCTTGTCCTGTTTGTGTCTTTTAGCTTAAATAAGCATTTCTACCAAATTGTATTAAAGCTACCAGCCTTACAACCTGATCATGATAACCTGATGTTATTCAAAGGGAATTAACCTATCGTCCTTAAAAGGACCACTACATGGAGGACAGAACCTGCACCAAGTGGGATGGGCAGAGCCACAAGTGTGAGTTACTCAACCCCTAGTGCACTGCTTCCTTGTGACCCCACTGGATTAATATTTTCTGTAATTTAGATTGCTGTTGAGCGCCCCCTAAAATCATCTCCTTGCTGTACCATATCACTGCTTGTGACTTCACTGGGTCAATCCTTGCTGCACCTGAGATTGCTATCAGTGGACTTACTCTTTACTGTGTCATATTACTGTCCCATGACCTTGCTACCTATCCCTTGCTGTGCCAGTGATTGCTGTCCTGTGGACCTATGCCTGTTATAACCCTCCTGTTTGCTGAACCCCTTAATAAAGTCCTTTGGCCAAGGGACCTAAATCCCTGCTGATCTCCATGAGTGCTCTGTTCTGCCCAAACCTCTGTCACAAACTGGTGACAGCATTGGGAGCAGAACATTTAAGATGGTGGAAAACAGCAGTGCCCTAACACTGAACTTAGCCTGGGGTAACAAATATAGGAACTGGATTGTGGCAGGTATGCAAGAGAAGGCGATGAAGATGTGGCCACCCTCAGATCCAACATGGACGGTAAGCAGGATACTATTGAAGGGCTCACAAGAGAGAAACCCTGGCACCTCCAGAGGACAGGACCCACCCCTCTCCTGCCCATGAGCCTTTGTGTGCAGAAAGATTCTTCACATATATTGAACATGTATGTTGTTTGCAACATGTGCCCTGAACAAATTGGTTTCATTACCTGGTGGGCCTGCTAGAATAAAGTAGCTTTCTGGGATGTATTGGTTGGTGTGCTGAGTACTCTTTTTTGTTC